AAATCTTTCAAAGAAAGCCTATACTTCCCCAAAGAAAAATTGTGTCCCTTGTTTGCAAAGAACCTCATAGAAGAATCTAGTCAAAATATTTGAGATTACCGGTGTTGCAGTGAGCTCCACCGGTATATTTCGGCCCTGAATTCTGGCTAAGATCAATGGTAGTTAAAACTAATATATCTGGCATGCAATATCTGAAGACTGGTTTCTGAGCAAGATTCTGAAAATGTGAACAGGGCTCTGGTCAGGAGACGGGGTGGATAAATATGAAGGAGAGAAAAGAGTGAGAGCAGAGAAAAAAGAGGAATTATAATTTATAATCTTGTTGGTACTGTGCCAAGGGTTTTCTATTCCCCAGCTCTTTCAGGTGGGATTGTGGGAAGGTCTGTGGCTGGAGTCTTTTGGCTCACACAAGTGGTTATAACTACGCAGTGGGGTGAGTTGCTGACGGTGAAAAGATTCTGTTATTTTTTATTCCGCACTGATCGTATACAGAATATCTTTCATTTTGGGTTGGTCATCTACGCCAAAATGTTAATTTTCTTCAAGTCTAAATTTTAGGCCTCTGTCAAGATTCTTGGTTCTGGACAATATATTCTATCTCTTTTCTATGGGAAGATGGAGGGAAATGTAATAAACATAGCAAATCTAAGTCTCTATTTAAATACAGCCATAAGCGCATCTATTTCACTTATTCACAGAATGGTTGAGCATATTAAATGGTGTAATTATACAAAGTAGTTAGAACAGTGCAAGGCACGTGGTGCTCAAGAATTAAGTTATCGTGATGTTTGTGGTTATTTCCCTTGTGTTTTCTCCCTGGATTTATTGCTTCTTTCAATCACTGCATTTTCATGGATGTTAATCTCATTTCAAATTAATCCTCACTGTAAAGCTTTGAGACTATATATCAAGTGAGAGCTAATAGCTCTTTATTGTAACCTGCATGTTAGAAATCCTGGGGCTCCAGTGGGTTCAGAAAAATGACTTAAGGCAGCCATGGATGGAAAAAACAAAACAAAACAAATTAGCTCCATCTTTTGGGTCAGGCCAATAAGCTTAGAGTCATCTTTAACTTCTCTCTCTCTCTCTCTCTCTCTCTGTATCTCTATCTCTTTCTCCTTCTACTCCCTCAGGGCATTATGCCAGCTCAACATTCAAAATATTTCCAGAATCTGACCCTTTCTTACTCCTCTACTGCGATCACCTTCATGTCTTGCTTTGATTTCCCTACGAGCCACCTGATTGTATTGTCCATACAGCAGGCAGAGAGGCCTTTTCATGATGCAATCTGACCATTTCATTCCTCTGCTGAAAACTCCAATGACTTCCCATTTCATGAGGAGCAACAGCTCCTCGGTGGCCTACAAAGCCCTTTGATGTACAAGTCTCTCCTCTCTGACCTACTCTCCCACTGCCCTTCTCCTCACTCTGATCCAATGACACTGGCCTTCTTCTTTATTGTAAGTAAAGGTTTATTGAAACACATCAAACTTATTCACTTCCATGTTGCCTATGACTGCTTTCTTGCTACCTCAGCAGAGTAGAGTGGTTGTGACTGAGACCCTAGGGCCCACAAAGCTTGCGCTGCTTACCCTCTGGCCTTTCGAGAAAAGGAGTTTGCAGGGCCCCGTTCTGCAGAAATGGCTGTGGCTGCATTTCACTAAGTTTGGCCTTGAGCAAGCCATACTGCATTCAGTGCTCAGCTTCTCAGCTCTTTTTGATGCCTGTAAAGGCATAAAAGGTAGGTTTCCACCAGGGGTCTAATGAAGCAGAGGAGGTGACCAATGAGTAGTACTTTCTCATTGCCTAGGGTCACCTCTAAATGTAGGAATCAGAGAAAAGTAGGTGACTGATGGAAAGAACATCCAGGCAAGAAAGAGAGAGAGAGAGACAGACAGAGAGAGAGAGAGAGAGAGAGAGAGAGAGAGAGAGAGAGANGAGAGAGAGAGAGAGAGAGAGAGAGAGAGAGAGAGAGAGAGATGGAGAGAGAGAGAGATGGAGATGAAGCGAGAAAAAACTTTACTCCCTCCAACAGTTCTCAAGGATCTTTCTACATTTTCACTTCCAGAGGACAGACTCCTGCCTGCCAGTATTTAGTGAACTGAATTTCAACGTCCTTAGAGATAGGCACAAGGTTCCCATTGACTTCAATGGGAGTCATGGGCCATTTGGTCTCCCACAGACATCTGTGCTGGCTTCAGGCTATTTAACAAACTCCTAAACAAATCTCAATAAAGTGCTGTTTAATGGGTACTTAATCCTGGTATGAGGGTGGGTGCCGAGCACACCTAAGTCTTTTCCTTCCCTTCAGGTTTACTAAGTTTTCTCCTTTTTATGGCTTAATAATTACTGCAACGGAAACCCTGAGGCAAGCAGTATTAAACCCACTCAAAGTCAATGTCGCTTTTATTGATCTCAGTTGACCTGTTTACTCCCTGGGCTCCTATTTAATGCCTCAATTGATTATTCATTTACATTTTTAATGTCTTTGTGGGAAAATTCATTTTAACATGAATCATCTCTCACTTAATGGGCAACATACAATCTCATTTTGGATTTTCAATTTCAGCAAGTCTTTATTGAGCAACTGAGCTCAAGTAAACTTAACAGGGATGGAAAGGAGATTTCAGTTTCTTGCAAAAGATGATAGAAACGATAGCTTGATATTCCTCCTGTGCAAAATGACCAACAATTAGGGGTGCTCACCTGAAATCAGAATGGTGATTAGGACATCGACTTTTGAGTCGTGTTTTTACAAATTATATGTTGTCCAAGTACAATTTGAAATTTACAGCATTTATGCTCACACCTTTAGTTGCGCTCTTTCTTAAATGAAAGCCAGAAGTTTCAAGATGATTTACTGATTTGTCTTCCTTTTAGGTAGTAGTCCTGCTTTGCCAGAGATGATAGAAATAGTGTGAGAAAACTATACTATAGTGTGCACTACACACTGAGGGATAGTATGATTTTATTAGCTTAAGGAATTCGCTATCTACAAAGGTAGGTAGCATGGAACATCTAACTGCACTTACATTTACAATGCAATATTCTATCTCAAGGGTCTTTATATATGCTTGTGGAGTTCATTCGATAATATGTTCTTCCTTCACCGTAAGCAAGTGACGCTCTAAAACTATGACTGCCTGTGGCGTATCCTTCCCAGTAGGGCTATTTTGAATATAATATTTATAAATTATATATCCAATCACCTACCTTCACTAAAATGCAATGAAGTGGAAGAAAAATACATAAATGCATATTTCCAGCCAGAATAGACACTTTTATCTGACAGTTTAAAATGGAACCAGAGATCAGTGCCAAGTAGAGAAGACTCACTATTCATCCTCTGGGGAGCAGTGAGTGTTAGCGCTTGGTGAAAAATCAAATACTATTTAAAAGTTTAAACGTGCTTTGCTTTATTAATTTTCACTATTTTTTTATTAGTGTTACTACCACATGTGTATACCAAAGAAAGGAGCTAATTTTAATTCTTGGAGAAAAAATATTCAGAAAGTAAATGCTGTCGTCCCTCCGTATCCATGCAGAACTGGTCCAGGACCCCCATGGACACCAAAATCTGCAGATGCTCAGTCCCTTATATGAAATGGTGTACAATGCATACAGTTGGCTCTGCACATTGCCGATTCCCATTAGCAGGTCAAAAATACTGTTTTGGATCCAACGCTTGGTTGAATCCACAGATGTGAAACCCAGGATATGGAGGGCCAGCTGTATATTTACTGAAAAAAAAAATCCGCATATAAGTGGACCCAGGCAGTTCAAACCTGTGTTGTTCAAGGGCCAATTGTAATATTATTTTTTCCACATGTAATTATTAAGCATTTTTTTATATGCCAGGGCTGTGTTAGGTAGCAGATTATAAAAAGAAATAAGGTAAAATTCAATTTTTTTTTTTTAGGAATTTCTAGGTTCATAGACATGTAAACAGATAATGGGAACATTTGAGATAATGGTTATATTTATAATACAAAGTGGTATTGAACCCTATGGTGGTCTCAGAGAGCTTTAAGGAAGAAATGATATTTGAGTGTAATCATGAAGAAAGAGGGAACTCACCACCTTGGGGGCTGTGGAGAATCATCCCCAGTGAGGTTCCATTCTCCTCAAAGAAAAGTAGGAATGAACTTGGGGGCATTTAATAAATAGCAGACTCTTCATCATAGCTGATGTGAGACTATAAAGAATATAGAGAAACTAGTCCCTGGGTTAATGAAGATGAAAAGGGCTGACTGGTGGACAGTTTCAAATTAGTGGAACTTGCACTTTATTATGTGGACAATGGAAAGTCACCATCAGAATTTAAACTGAATAAAAGGGGGTCTGAACTCTGACAAACCTCACAATGAAACCAGAAGGCAAAGGGGGAAGGTGCCATTAAAAGGGACGTCAGTGAGGGAAGTGTTTAGTGAGATCAAGGCGCTGAGCACCACGTTTCTGACCTTCACCCTGAAATAAGCAAGTGGACAATGCAAACTTTCCTAAGGGCTCAACACTGGAGGGTCACAGTCCCTTTTCCATAAAGTGGTCAGCTTTACCGACCCCACCCCCAACTGGATCCCTCTTTGTTAACCTTCTTTAGAAATGTTTCTAGACATTTATCCTGCTACTTATTAAGTTGGCATCATTCGTTATGGCCATTTCAAACTTTCTCCGCATTATTTAAGGAATGGAGTCCAGGGCCCAGTCTTAATAGAGTTGGGTAGATGAAATGACATCTTTAATGTTCTGATTGAATTACAACATATATCACAAAGGTAATACGTATTTCTTAAAAAAAAAAAATCCTCCTAAGTTTGATGATGAAAGGATCAACTCACCAAAAGGGACCGGAATTAGCTAGACATGCCATTCCTAAATTAGAACACTCCATCAGCTTCATTTTAATGCACTCCACCTGATGAGTTCATGACTATGGAACACTTTGGTTCTCTTTGTTCAGACCAGGCATGGCCAGGTGAGGTCTTGTGCAAGTCCCATACCTGTGCTGTCTTCATACACCACGGTCACTGTTTTCCAGTTGTAGTAGAGGACTAGATCCAGGACTGCCCTGCTGATAGCTGCATAATCGGGGTAGAGGTTGATGTAAAATAAGTCTTTGTTGTCCACGGAGGGGTGTTTCCAGCGGGTCTGTATGTGTGGAACTTCGAGAGCGTTGCAAATAGACTGCACAGCACTGACAGAAGAACTATGGGAAGGGCCGAAGACAGCAGCCACACCAAGAGCCAGCTGGTCACACGCTGATTCCCAAAGACAAGGAAGGGGCAGAAAGAGAGGGCAGGAAGGGGAAAGAGAAAGAGTTCTGTGAATGTAATCTTTCCTTCCGTGATTCCTCTTTTTATTTTCACTATTGGAAACTTTCCTTCACCCTCTCCCTGCATGCTTAATCCAACTTCTAGAATTCCTCAGATACTAAAATACCGAGAGATGTAAATGTGGAACTGATTAGCAACATATCTCAGGGCCAACTCCCAGCAAATAAAAATGGATTGCAGGTCTCACTTCATTACCTTTAATTAGATGAAGTCTACATCCCTTGCTTGCTATGGTGTTGCCCAGGAGTGCTCAGAGCCACTCTACAAGCCATTGGCTAAGTAGGCGCCATGTGAATGAAGTTTTGTCATATGGCAGGCTGGCCGTGGAGATATTAATGTAGTCAAGGAATTCAGAAGACTCTCTGGGTGACTGCAAAGTGCATTAGATCCTGTCTTCCCAAAACTCAGAAGGGAGTTCTAGGATATTGAAAAACTGCTGAAGAATGTTAAGTGATTCTGATACCTAATTAATTACAGAATAATAGAATAGCAGAGCTTAACAGGATCCTAGAAGACATTTTGTCTAACCCACTAATGTTATAGACAATGGAGTACATCAGGACCACTGGATAATGGCAGAGCTGTACCAGAGCCCAGGGACCTCGCTCAAGGTCAGGCCATTTTCTAAGTCAATATCACTCAACATGTAGCCTAACAAAATCAAGTCAACATGTATTTAAAAATTAACTTATAAGATTTATTTATTTTTCTCATTGTAAGATTATATACACGTATCGAGAGAATTTAGAATATTTAAAAGTGTAAGGAAGAAAAAAAGGCAGTGTAATTCCATCATCTTGGGATAATATCTGTTTATATTTTTGTGTTCTGATTTATTTTAAAAAATTGAATTAGTATATAGATAGAGTTTGATGCATTGCTTGCTTTATTAAACACTAAATGTAACACTAAGGCATGCCCTTTTCCCCAAGTCATTACAAATTTTTCAAAAGTATATTTTTAGTGTTTGTAGAATGGCCCATTCCATGAGTATATCATCATTTATTTAAATATCCCTGAATTCTTAAATAATACTGAATATTTAAACTGTTCCTAACCTTTGCCTGTTATAAGTAATATTATAGTAGTTATCTTAGTTCTTATATTTTTCTCTGAATTTTACATTGTATTCTTAGAGTAGATGTCCGATAATTCAAGGTGTTGATATTTTTTAAGTTAATTGATACAAATTAGTTAAATTCCCTTCCAGAAAGTTTGGGACTCATTATCTTCTACAACCATGCAAAAATAGTGCCTACTCATTTTATGCTTAACATAAATTTATGCTGGCATTAAATATAAATTTAAAAGCATTTCAAATTTATAACTTTAATGCTAGTTTAAAGGAATTTGAAACTGCCCAGAGATAATTGAATATTTAAATTAAATTATAGCAAATTTTATAAACATAATTATGTAAATATTTATGATAATGTCATTCGACAAATAAAAGTAGGTAGAAAAACCACATGGCTTAGTCAAAATCATCGAACTTGATTTAGAGAGAAAAATTGATAAATAAAATTTTGAGAGTCACATTCCAAATATCTGTGCGACAGAAAATGTTGAGTGATTCACAAGGAAAAATTTCGCACTTTGGCATTGATTTACCACAGAGATACGACGATGTATACTCTTCTGCATTAAGTACTGTAAGTGCAATCGCCATTGTCCCCAGAAGCCCATTTTCTGGGTGTTTTTTATTGTTAGCAAGATAAAATGAGAGCGTAAGAGTATGTGAACTGTTGTTTTGTCTAACATGGGCCATGAATTGAGATTCCTGCTAATATTTAGCTCTGGGGCACTAATATTACTTGACAAAAAAAATCAATCCTTTTGAATTCTGTTTGCCCGCAAATTACTAGTTTTAAGAAGCTTTGGGGGTGTTTAATTTACAAGCACTGGCAGGTACTTCAGATCACAAAAAAGCTTTCAATTTTATGTGGATTGAAGTATAATTGTTAAATGTGGTTGGCTTGCTGAAGTATTTACTCAACAATGCTTTTGTGTGGGGGGCGTAAGTGTGAGGGAGAGAGAGAGAGAAATAGAGAGAAACAGAGAGAGGGAGTTAAGAGATCTAGCCCATAGAGATAATTTATATGAACATGCCTTATAAACTTTAAAGTGCTATATAAAGTTTTATATTTGTTCATGGACAACCCTGAGCTATATAGTATCTGCAACTCCATCCACCTTCAAAAGAAAATATTCTTGTTACTAAGATCATGTCATAGGTAGAAAAAAAATCATTATACTATTTACTTTTCATCTGTGCTCTCAGGAAAACAAGTTTCCCATTTCGTTTGTAAAGAACACAGAGAATCTTACAGAAGAGTGTATTAGGTGAACACATCCTATGGCCCTACCTGGTTTAATTCTATGTGGAAACAACCAGTATTTTGTTATTGGTTGTAACTAAACCAGCATAAACATGGCGCTCATTGTGTTCTGTTTATTTGGGTGTTGTTGTTGGGCAAAGCGTTCCTCTATGGGGAAAACAGCCCCGCCTGTTCTGGGATGAGGGGCAGCCTTTGTTTTCACACGAACACCTGTATGGAGTCTCAGCTCCCTTGTTAGAGGCCAAGCTTCAAGGTCATCACATCTTCCCACGCTTCACAGCATCCTCTTGGCAGTGTCTGGAGGGTGCTAAACAAACCCCACAATGCACATGGCTCTTTACATGAGACAAACCTTGCAGTCTACATATAAATTAGAGGAACTTTTCTGCTCAGAAGCAAAACAGAGTCAAAGGATCAAATGCAAAGATCGTTCTCACAGGTTTGATCTTCTTTTTAAATTTTAATTCATTATTATTATTTTTTACGGTGGATATCCTTTCCACATTTGAAGCAAGCAGAGAGCGCAAGGATCTCCTTCAACCTCAAGTCTCCTGCTTTATTTACTTATTTTTTTTTATTGTATGATGTCATTTATGTTATTTTTTCGTTTTCTTTTTTTTGTGATTGAGGTTTGATTGACTTATAACATTATATGAATTTCAGGTATACAACATAATGATTCAAAATTTGCAATCTTCATATTTTTATGATCCAGTGGAAAAGCGGTTAAAAAAATGTTGAGAAGATGCCAGGTAAACCCACTAGCTTATAACCTGTTAGAATTCAGGGTGTGAGTTATGTGCATTGTGGGCATTTCCACATGCACAGTGGGTATGGCCTTCCGCAAAGTTTTATCTGACTGCACTGCACAATTTCATGGTGGTGTCTCAGCCTCGGGAAGGAAAAAAACAGATCAAGCTTGACATTTTCCATTCACAGCTGAACCAGTTAATCATAGAGTGGAAGACACTCAAGGGGAAGCTAATCAACAAGGCCCACAAAACAGAGCTGGGCGATATCCACTAGGACAGTTCAGGTCACACTGGACAGCGACATCCAGGACTGACTGAGAGCGCCTACAACACATTTGCACAAAGATGTCTACTTAAAAAGAGGGCAGGTAGCCAAAAGGAGGTGACGTGTAGAGCAGACATATCACCCAAAGAAGCTTTTAAAAGTGTGAAAATAGTTACCTCTCCGTGAGGCTTCGAAACTATCAAAAAGGTTAATTCTCTGGATGTCATAGGTTAACGTGGTGTTAGGCATCAGGGTTCGATTTCTGTTAATGCTGGTGACTGCAAACTTGAATGCTAATTCTTCAACATTAACAGGTTCATTTTCCACAGTTTCAAAAATCCCTCCTGCAGAAGCAAAAGAGATGCATGAGAAGCATTAGTCACGTTGGTCACACATTTTTTTTTTAAAGAATAAAATATACATTTCAAACAAAAGGCCCAAAACAATCAATGTAGGCATGAGCTAAACAAATCCCAAACCTCGTGTTAAAAGTGAAGTTTATCAGCATGTGTGACATGCAGATAAGCAGGTTTAATTTCATATGTATGCTCATAATTTCAAACGAAACGTTGGACTGTGTAATCCCTCCCAGATGGCAAATGTATTCCAAATGTTTAGTACCATGGAAAGTATAACTGAAAATAAGGCGAGGAGTGATTTCCTACAGTCTGGACATGAATCACACTGTGGTTGACCTAAACATAATGTGAACTGTATCCTGGTACAACCATCCGTCCTGCGAATGAAGCCCTTTCTATTAAGAAACGGACATTCTAGAGTGATCATGCAGAGAGTTGAGTGGGGTCAAAATGAGACATACATACACTTTTAGAGTTTTTAGAATGAAGATACCTTTTCTTAGGGGCTCAGAATTCTGGGGTCATATTCTAGTACTTCCCAAAGTTCATGGGCCAATTTAAAGAACTGTCTTTTTTGTTTCTTTGTTTTTGTCGTTGGTGTTGGTGGTGTTGGTGATGGTTTTTGTTTTGAGAACTGTTTGGTGCTGCTCAAAAGCAACCCTGCCTCCTGTCTCTGGAGGAATATGTCCCCCTCACTGTGCAAGAATACATACAGTAGGCCTCTGATGTCTTAGACTTGAGGATCTCATCATAAGCGAACTACACAATACTGGCACTTAAAGCCTCATCAGAGAATTCAGCTCTGAAATTGGCACACTGATGCTGGCAGAGAAAACGGAAATATTATCAATGGCACATTCTTAACATTCCTTAAGAGCTGTCCTGGGATTTTCAATAGACACGGGGCATACAGTAGAGAATCTTAACTGGCCTCCATTTCACTTACTCCTTGATGGACTAATATTCCCAATTTCCTTTGGAAAAACTAATTGGTGCCCATGGCATGTGGATACTTGTAATGAGCAGATGGCTACTTATATAATCTCACCATTGAATGATGCCTTACCAAAGGTTCGTTGTAGGTTTGTAGCAAGCTTATCTTAGCTAGATTGATTTGCATGGGCTTTAAGTTCTCTTTCCACTCAAAATATATATTAATATATTATATCCAAAACTGAAAATCAAACTAAACATCTATAGACACAGGTATGATTTAGGCATACTTTTACTTAGAAAGAGAACTCCAAGTGATGACTAGAGCTGCCAGGAGCTGAAGGAAGCAAGGGATTGAATCTCCTCTAAAGCCATTGGAGGAAGCAGGACCTTGCTGACACCTTGGTTTCTCAGACTTCCGGCTTCCAGAAATGAGAGAGAACAAATTCCCCTTGCTTTAAGCCACCCAGTTTGTGGTGATTCATTATAGCAGCCATAGGAAACTATAATAAGACAGTATCCTAATCGTCTTAAGAAAGTTTCACTAGTGGTTGCTTTTAATTACTGTATTTTTCCCTCTTTGTAAAATGTTACTTTATTCAGTACTTCAAATAATAACCTCTAGCTCTCTAATTTGATTTTGTAAATAAACCACGTAGCTACTTATATACCATGCAATGCACTGAGTTTCTTTATTACATTTTCCTATATTATCCAAAACCAAAGGTATTCTTGTCCCAGTGATATTCAGTATTCAATTCATCTAACATTATTGGCTGTCTGTTAGTGTTGAGGACGAGGCGGGCAGCAGTGGAGGTTACAGAGATAAAAAGCAGTTGGCTCTTGCCCTCAGCAGAGCTTCCAGTCTATTGGGACAGGTTGAATTATTGGCAGTAGGTGACAGAAAAGGAAACCATGTACAGCAGTCAATGATTTCATCAACAAAACAAGAAGGCCATTCTATGTCCCTCCAATGTGGAGTCTTTCCTGATTCTTCCAGCCAGAGGTGAACTCTCCTTGTCTTTTGATAATGAAATCTAGCTCACATCTGCAGACTTAAATTTTGTTGTAAACGCTTAAGCTGGGAAGCTAACCTTTCCTGGAGGGTAGGGACAGTGTTTAGTGATACTCGTGTCTGCCAGGACTACATACAATGATTTCAACACAGCACATTGTCTCCAACAAATGATCAGTCAGTCAGTTGAGGTGAATCAATTTCTCTCTCTCTTTCTCTCTTTGCCTTAACATGGTGCCTGATAATGTAGTATGTCCTACCAGGACAACGAGGCTTCTGAGAGAGGTGCGAAGGAAGGGGGGTGGTTGCTGAGACCTCGAGTGAGACAGCACAGCTTTCCCCTTACTGCCTTTGGAGCAATGATTGCTCACTCTCTCCCAACCATTATGGCCCATTGTCCCCAAGCACTTAACAAAGCCCCGATCCTCTCTAAATGCTCACTTCTCATCAGACTGCTGGCACCTTCACATCATGGAGAAATGGCTCATCTCCTATTCAACTGCAGATTTCAGGCAAGGCCCAGGAAGGTTGCCAAAGGATTCATGCCAAATGTTTATTCTTATGAAAATCTGTGATCGCTCTAATATCTCTTGAGATCAGTTACATTTTTAGCTTTTAACATCTCACTTAAATGACACATTTTCATACTACAGGGCTCAAACCCCATCTATTTCCTTATTGATTAAATGAATGGAATATGTCAAGTTCATAGCCTGCAGTCCAGGGGAACTGCGTTTATGCATTTCACCGCAACTTTCTCGTTTTCTTTTCTTTTATTTCTGCTACTTCTCAAGAGGAAATTTCTTCTTGCTGAGAAGGGGATATTGCCGTTAAAGATGAGAACTGATGTCTAACACCAGAACAAATGGAAGCTCACAGCTCCAACAGAGCAGTATTTACCAATGTGTGCGCATGGAAGTCGCCCTTGAGACGCTCCACACAAAGGAAGTTCATTGGTCAAATACAGAGGGTGCCAAAAAATGTAAACACATTTTAAGAAAGGAAAAAACTGTATTAAACTGTAATACTCAATATATACTGGTAACAAAAGATAAATACAAGTCACGTGTATACATTTTTTTGGCACCCCCGTAAAAAAGCAGTATATCTCTGTTTAACCCAGTGTTTCTCAAATTCATTTCATAATAAGACAGTTTTGTGGGGTTTTGTTTTTTTGTAACTGGGGCATGCAATGGAATTGCTATCCTGAGAAACACATTTTGAAAAATTTGATCCAGCGAGCTGCTTTTTTGGGGACTGACTAAAATAATTTACAGTCTTAAATATTGGTTTTTTGCCCACTTTAAAAAGCTAGACATTAAGTTCTTGATCAGAAGTATAAGCCCTCTAACGATGACACTGCTTTTTGAAAAATTAATATTAGATTTATACCATCAATTTTACCTCCTTTTTTATTTGCAAAAAAATAAC